AGGGATCACGTGGCATGCAGGTTAGGCTCTGAGGAAGAGTTCTTTAATGGCTTTTGCTAGTCCTGGCTGTTCATGCACAGGTGGCTGAAAAGCTCATAAACCCCAAAATATCTCCACTTATTTATGTTCACAATCTTAAGCTTTCCAGGCTGGGAAATGACTTGCTTTGCACTCCAGCTGCAGTTAAGAAACAAAAGTCATCAGGAAGCTATTTGTTTCATTTGGAGGACTTGGTAATCCTTGTTGTATTAAAGGATCTCTTTGGAAAGAGCAAACAAGGATTTCAGGATTGGCTCCATGTAAGTGTTATCTAAATAGAAGATTCCCTCAATGCCAGGTAGTGATTTTTTTTCTTTCTCCTGCCTTTCAGACCCTTTTTTAGAGGCTGAATGCCTTGTTTTGACTTCACAAGTTAATACAATATAGAAATACTTGTCATTGCCTTAATTGCTAATTCAGGGGATAATAAGTTTTCTTTGTACGATGCTTTATGTTACTGAAAAGAAAAAGACTGCTCTGATTTGCTCAATGGGATGCTCTTTTCTCTGTGTTCCCTTAGTCTTTGATATTGTATTAGCCTGTGATTTTTAGCAGCATGTATTTGTGCTACACGCATGTTGTAGCCCTTCTTCCACTGCCTGCTTTTTGGCTGCTTTTTGTTTTCAGAAGGAACCTCAATTACTCAGTCTCCTGGTTGTGAATGTAATTCTCTTCACTGCCTGAAAATGAAGGAAATGATTGGGAGCAATAGGCACCTCTTTTGATTTCCTGGGAGGCAGGTGTACAATGACTGGTAACATGAACAACTGGAATTTTTTAAGCTTTAGTCTTCCTTGGAGTTGTGCAGAGTAATTGGTTATCTTTATTTGCATTCTGAACTCCAGCACTAAGCACTTAGTTTGTTATTACTTGGTTATTTCCTCTCTTTGATTTACATGTTACAGAATTGCTTATTATTGATGTGTAAATTATGAAGTCCAAAACAGAACCAGGACATCCTTATGCTGAACTGTTTGTTACCATTCTGCCTCTCCTAGAGAAAAAAGGCTTGTAGGACAGGCAACAAATTCTGCATTACTAATTTTAAGTACCTTACAAGTTACAGTGATGGCAATGAATAGATTCAGGAGGTTTAGTTCCAACAGTGATCAAGGTTGCTCTAATTTGGAAGTAGTCTTCTCTCTCAATTTTTAAATAAAAAAAAAAAAGGAAAAAAAACCAACCCCCACCTTGTGATGCTCGTGCACGTTTCATTTCTAATAGTGTGGCTGCACTCTTGCTGTAACATGCACTCGGCTTCTATTCAGTGCTAAAAAGCCATTTTTATTTTGAGGTTCTGTTGAAATATATCCAGTTTTATATTTCAAAATGTACATCCTCACTTAACCTATATATATAACCTATATATTTGTCATTGCAAGCTCTGTTAAACTGCAATTCAAAGAGCCACCTGTAACAATTCCAGTTATTATGTGTCTAAAGAAAATAACATCAAATAAAAGAAATGCTGAAACTGGGGAAGGCGTGTGTGTTTCCATTCCAACTTGACAGACCAGTGACCAGGTACACCCTGCATTGAATGGCCACTGTCTGTATTTGAGTGGTGTCTGTGCTTCATTCTCAAACCCAGGAAATGCAAAATGCTCTCCCCTTCTAAAACAATACTAGTCAAGTTTGAATTACTGAAAACTTCATAATATATATATATTTTGTTTTTTTACCCCTTCCTTGTGCAGCATATTCAACCAAGAGATCTCTTTTGAGTGTCAGATACATGTGTGGCAGTGTGTTGTCACTGGCTTTAGAATAAACTGATAAAACCAAATGGGAGCCATGAAATATCCAGTGGTTTATTCTTTCCAGTAACTTCATTAATTCTTTTTGACCCCATTCACTTACTAGATGTTAAAAAAAAAAAAAGTTTGAAAGAGGATGTGTTGGCTAAAGGCCTGCAAACTCCATGAGAAAACATATTTTACTATGTTTCTCAGTATTTGCAACTTCAAATGTTGCTAAGGCAGTTAATAATTTATCTCCCAAAATAGATTTTAGAACAAATACATAGGTTTAGTATAGCTAGTGTATTTCATTGGCTGTATTCCTTTCTTATATGTTTTTAATTACTATAATAGAGGAGACACTGGCCTGTGCATCCTTTAAAACACTTGCATGTTTATGGATGGTAATGACATTAGTCTGAGAATATATAAGGCTAAAGAGAGGTTTTCTTGCCATTACTGTTTAGCTTGATGTTGTTTTGATACTGTAATCTTTCTGTTACACAGCAGTGTCTGGTAGATGGAGGAGAGTATAATAACCAATTTATAACGGACAGTATTTCTTTACTTTTTTAAAGGTACAAAGGAAAAACATACACAAAGACTCATACACGTACATGCTTTTAACTTCTAGGCAAAAAAAAATGGAGGAGAAGAAATGGAGGAAACAGTGATTTATTTATTTTTTCCTAGAAAAGTGAGGGAAAAGTACAATTGTTGCTTTTCTGGGCAGGATATGCATTGAACCATTTGATCAGCAGGGTATGGTCAGTGTTCGACATACTCGGTCCAGTGCAAACCATGTCCCTTTTTTCTTTTAGGTCTTTTAAAAGACCTTTCTAAAACATTCTCGATATTTGCTGCAAAAAGAGGAGTTTTTGATAATCTTGGAGGAGGAGTCTTCCAGTTCAAGAGCCCTGCTGCCTGGGTCGATGTACATAATTACTGATTTGTTCAAGTCTTTTGTCATGCACAGGCAAACACGAGAGGTGCATACACTGTGTTGTACTGTGCATGATACTCAGTTTCATCCATTAAAAGAAGAATTGATTTGAAGGAAAATATTGCTATTCAGTAATCCAGTTCTGCAGCATTACTGCCATGTTCCATGTGTTACCATTTGCCAACACTTGCATGCAGCATATGTGCTGTATGTATGCTGCTTATTTCTGCAGTGTGGTTTCTTTCTGTTTGAGTGTATAAACGATGAGTGGAAACTAATTCTATTTAACAAACCAAAGTAAACATCCCAAATAGCAAAGGTCTTTCTCAACTCAAAGTGGCTGCAAATCAGCTCCTAAATACTGTCACTGAAATTAATATCTAGATTTAATAGTTCTTGCGAATTCTGTGTTTTTGAAAAACAGCATTGCATTAATGCATGATATAGAAAGGATAAATTCACCTTTAAATTGGAATGCAGTTCAAAGTGACTGAATTCTCCCTGTTTCAGCCACTATATTTGCCAAAGAACAAACTGGAAAATGGAACTGGTATCATTCATCTGCTCCTGCTTCACTGGGAGGTTTGGGGAATGGACTTCCTATGAAGATAAGAGCAGAATAGTTTATGGATAACCTGTAATAACCACTGAATTTGACAGTCTGAAGTAGTATAGGTTTACTTTTAAATCCACTTAGCATGGAAAAGTTGTAAGAAATGGTACTGTTTTAAAAAATCTTTATCATCACTCATTGATCCTCCTGGTAATCACAAATAGGCTGATTTATAGAAAGGCTTGCTGCATTTTACTGTTAACTAAATACATACATGGTGGCTGAACATACTTTATTCTGTTACTTTTAAATTGCTTAAACTGGATAAGATAGTTAAACTGTCTCTGAATCTTTTAGTCTTGAGAGATTAATATAATATTTTGGATTTAAAAAAAATCCTCAAGAAGAAAGCCATCATGTTCCTCTTGATAATAGGTATTAGCTCTGTGGCACCAGTGATTACATGAAAAAACATGCTGGATAAGTATGTAGATACTATTATATACAATTTGTTTGCAAAATTAGATTATTTCTGTGGTTCTGGTTTATTGTGCAAGATGTGGTCAGCAGGGCAGAAATACAAAGAATTGCAGCTCCCTCTCAGGAAGCTTATATCTGACTATAAAATTCAGTTATCTATTTCCTTAAATCAGCTGTGTTTCACTGAGGAATCAAGGCTTAATGTTTGTCTGTACTGCTTCCTCTGAAGTATTTCAGCCTAGGCTTTCAACTGATCTGTCCATTAAAATTCTTCAGTGGAAATGATTCTGTTGGTGTCCAGAAATATTCAGAAGTTTGTTTCAATCATTTAGTTGTTCTTCCATGTTTCTAAACCAGATTGATCTATGTGACCTCTGGAGGAGTCACAATCATGTTCTTTAAAATACTTTACTTCATATGAACTTTTTGGAGGTCTGTCCTGAGCTGTCTCTGTCTGCATAAGGGACTTGGCTGATAAAGTCTGAGAGAAACCTCTCAGAGTCTGAAAGAGTCAAATTACAGAAATTTCACGTTGTCTTGTATCACCATGTCCCCAGTACAGATACTTCATCCCTGTTTTGAATATTCGAAACAGCTGTCATAGTGACTGATACCAGTTCCATTTTGCCTACCGACTCAGTTGATTTTATATTTTATTTCTCATTTATGATGGAATAATCAGCAGCTCTTTTTCTCATTTATTTTCTCATATTTTTATTCCAGGATTTGCCTCTGAAGCAGGGAGTGTCTGCATTAAAAATGACCTGTAGTTCTCTGCTTCATAGGTTAGAAACTTATTTTAATACTTTGTGGCTAAGCACAGTCCCGTCTCTTTCAAAAATAAAAAATTCCAACAATAAATGGTTTAATTGGCATTGAATGTGGATTATAAACATTTCGCATTGGGGCTTCCATTATTTTAGATGAAATGGCTTCTGCACAAATAATTACTCCAGCCGAGGCAATGAAAGCTGTGTTTGCTTAGAGCCATTTTTATGAATTAACATTAAACTTTAAAAGCGTTGATTCCAGTGGATCATACTAAGTCTCATTTGGACATTTCCAAAGTAATGCATTGGTTAGGCTCTTATTGCTTTAAGCATTTACATTCTAAAATTTACCAAATTCCAAATATTTGTTGGGGGAAAGAAATCTGTTCATAAATCGCTTTGTGTCAATGGGACTGCTATAGCCAGCACACACAGAACCATGTATCTTGTATTTACTTCTGAATTATACACCGCAGATGCTTCTTCAGCTCCTTCCTCTTCCTCCATGGGCGGTGCTTGCAGCTCCTTTACCACCTCTTCCAGTCCTACCATTTACTCTACCTCAGTCACCGACAGCAAGGCTATGCAAGTGGAGAGCTGCTCCTCAGCCGTGGGGGTAAGTACCAGAGGGGTAAGTGAAAAGCAGTTAACCAGTAACGCAGTCCAGCAGCAGCAGTCAACGCCGAAGAGACACACAGTCCTGTACATCTCGCCACCACCTGAGGACTTGCTGGACAACAGTTGGATGTCCTGCCAAGATGAGGGGTGTGGATTGGAGTCAGAACAGAGCTGCAGTATGTGGATGGAGGATTCACCCTCCAACTTCAGTAACATGAGTACAAGTTCCTACAATGATAACACTGAGGTGCCACGTAAATCACGCAAACGCAATCCAAAGCAGAGGCCAGGGATCAAACGTCGAGATTGTGAAGAGTCCAACATGGATATATTTGATGCCGACAGCGCCAAAGCGCCTCACTATGTCCTTTCTCAGCTCAGCACGGACAGCAAAGGCAACTCAAAAGCAGGAAATGGGTTGGTATCTGTTTTTTTTTGTTTTGTTTTGTTTTTTTTTTTTTTAAATAAAGTTTTATCACCATATGTAAAACCAGACTAATAAAACTCTCCCCATGCACAGTCAAGTGTTCTACTTAGGTTCTCACATAAATCCTTTCTCTTCTCTGCTGTTCCCTTTTGCGTCCTAGCCTTGCGATAAGGTCTGATTAGACTTGGTAGTCTTTATTTAGAAGATAAAGCTGAACTTCCCTACAACAATTGACGCAGCACCGATGAGCTCATCTGTATTGTTATTTAAGTGAAATTCTTCAAAGATTGCACAATTCCATTTATAGAATGGCACTGAAAATGTATTTGAAAAGAAAAGCAGAAGCGGACTGGACGCACCCTAAATCTTAGTGGGTTTTGCAGGATTTTATGTGAGGATTTCAGTCTGTACACTTTACCTGCTTCTGTTTGTCTCTCTATTTACCAAATAGAGAGAGTGATGAGAGAAGAAGCAAATGGCTTGTTAGGATTTCTCATCATTGGACTTAACACATGCTTTACATTTTTATAAAATGTTAAGATAACATGGTGAACCAGATTTTGTTTCTTCTTGTGAATTCACTTCTGTATTTTGATTTTTTCAGAAATAAATCTCTAATCCTGTTTCTCTCTGTGCTTCTGGGTTCTGTGCATGCGTGTGTCTGTACGTAGGCACGCTGGGTGGTGGTCTCTCATCTCTCCCACTTTCACACTCTTCACTAAATGCATTTCAGTAGTTGCTTAAAGAGGAAAAACTCCATCAGTTTACAGTAGTGTGTTGATACATTTTTATTTTTTAACTTGTGGCTTCTTTAGTACTTTTAAGATGGTTGAGTGGATAGATTTGACTTTTTTATTTTGGGTTTTTTGGGGGGAGTGTGTATATTGTTTGTTTATGTGTGTGCTTGTGGTACATTCTAATGTTCATCACAGTAATGGTGAATATGAAAATCTGACAGATGGGAAAGATTACAAACTTCTCATATTCCAAAGGGAAAGAGCCTGGAGTCTGTATTCCCAGGGTCTTTGCAGTTCCATACTTAAAATTTCACTCTGAGAAAGTGATTCTGAGAAACTCTCCAGAGTACTGCTGCTCCCTGCCTGCTGGGTACCACATCAGGGCCCATGGAGCTGCCCAGTACCAGGAATGTTGGCTCTGCCATTGACCTGTGTGTCTCCTGGTGTCTCTGTATAACAGACACTAAGCTTGGCTGCAGTTGTCCAGCATCTCTTGTTTTCACCACCTGAAATCAATGTTAATAAAATAAAACCTTAGTACATGGTAGGCTCAAAGAAGCAAATTAGTATATGTAAAGCAGCTGCTTGGCAGGAGGAAGCTGGCTCCACTGAGCAGACAGGGTCAGGTGCTCCCCTACAAAAGAAAGACAAGTATTGAAAGGCAAGAACTGTGTGACTGTAAATATGATCTCTGGGCAGAGAGGAGAGATTTAGTAAACTCTGGAACAATATGAAGGCTCCACACCTGGTATTGTTTAAGGCCAGGCTGGACGGGGCTTGGGGCAACCTGGTCTAGTAGAAGGTGTCCCGGCCTGTGGCAGTGGGATTGGCACTGGATGAGCTTTAAAGTCCTTTCCAACCCAAACAATTTTGTGACTCTGTGATCTCAATGTAAAGTGTCACAAGACTGTAGCATTCCCTAAAATATTAGTGGCTACCCAGTGAACATTCATCAGTGCTGTCAGCGGTACTCTGAATGCAGGGGAAATCATTGTTTTTTTCCCCTAACATGTCAAATACAGGCTAGTTGGAACTGCAGCAAAACTCTTATATAACAAAATTGTCCTTTTGAATAAAAGCTCTGGGGCAAAAAATGTCCAAGATACTAGAAAATGTAATTTTGCAGCTGGAATATGGAGATTTAGTGTTAAAAATCTGGGTCACAGTAGTGACTGGTTTGTTTGCTTGGTTTTTTTTAAACTTTTCAGCCCTTTGGATTTCAGCCAAGGGAGTTCATTTACTTTTGGCTTTAAGAAAAGAGCAAGGAGGGCAGCCTTGCTAATTTGTGAAGTGGAAGTAGCATTTGCCTTAAGAGACTTTTAATAGGTCTTCAGAAGCTAGGAAGAAAAAAAAGTGTATTCCTGTGGAAACTGTTGGAATTTTTGAAAGCCTTTCTTAGAAGTGAATGAATTAATAGTGATTTAGGGCAAGCAGGCTCAGATTTCCGACATGCTTGGCTTCACTTTCACTTGCAGGTCTTCACTGGGAACAGCCCTGATGCCAGTGTGGGACCAGGAAATCTGTTCCAGTAGAATCATAGGGTTTGCTACTTAAACTTCTTGCTTAGAAAAGAAGTGCTAGCTTTGGGTAAACCTTGTCTGGTAATAGTTAAACTAATAAACCTGTGGTGTGAAATGTTTTACTATCTGTGTGTGCACAAATATTAGCATTATGAATAAACTAAATTTAAAGGATGTGTAAATTATATCCTTGGAATTTGAGAAGAAAGACCACTGAGAAGTTCTGGTGAAGGCTTTACAGTTGCTTTCAAGTTACAGCTAATCTGATTGAAAGTAGTGATTACTTTAGGTTTCTAGAGGGAAGACTTTCAAAATAAAGCTTAGGCAGAATAAATATGACAATGCATAAAATAATAATATGTGGACAGTTCAGATGACTTGGGTTTTAAGAGTAAAGTACTCTCAGGAAAAGAGAGTTGTGTTGAAGAGGCCAGAGTGTTAACATCAGACTGCTAATACTTTGCATTTTGAGTGTTGAAAGTCAACTCAAGTTTTGATGGCTGCCCCCTTCAAAAGTCAGTAATATCTCAGTCTCTATCAATTTAGCAAGTGGGAACCTCCATGTGTGGTATCTTTCTGTGAAACATTCTCCTGTGCTGAGGTGCGGAGAGCTTGTGGCCCAGGCACAGTGTTGGGAAGGATGTGATGGTTGCCTGCAGCAGCTGGGATTGCCTGGTGTGATTTCTTGTGTTCCCTCGTAGAAGCTAAGAAGTTGTAGCTGTGTGATTGAAAATTCATAGGGGGTGGAAAAGAGAAGATATTCTCTGCAAGTTCATAAACATATTCCTTTTAATTAGTAGTCCGTTGGAGTAATGTCCTGACAGGAAGAGGAGAAAGTGATTATCTAACGAGCTTGAGTGTGATTAGTGTTTTTGCTTAACATGTACAGAAGCAAGGACCACAGTGCTGTTAATTACAGTTTATTTAGTGTGTCACAGGTTTTGTCTGTGCTACATTGAAGGAGAATTTTGTCCCTTTTATTTTCCTGAAAGGAAGGATGTTTTTACATAGTGGGTTTTTTTTTAAACAGCCTGATTGACCAGACTTTGGCTGAGTAATTACGACACATTTGCAGAAAGATAGGAGTCTTGTAAGGTTTTTTTAATGCTGTTTTTTTATCTAGGTCCTGCCTCTCTGCTGTTACTTGGTTGAAGATCAGTGTGTGAGGCAGCCAGGGCTGCTCAGGGCATCTCTCCTGGGCTCAGCTGGATAAGCGGGAGGCTTTGCTGGGCTGTCTGCGAAGTGGTTAACCTTCTCAAACAGAAAAACATGAATGAAATTCACCCAAAGCACAGAGCTCATAACTGCTCAGCAGTGTTCATTTTAACCATTTGTTACAGGTGTTAAAAGGTTTTGGAAAGCTTAGTGGGAGATGTGGAACTGGTGCAAAGTGTTTGACCTTTCCTGGAGCAGAAGACCCCTCCATAGGAAAAGACAGGCTGAGAGACCTGTGGATGTTCACCCAGGAGAAGAGAAGGATTCACAGAGACCTTAGAGCAGCTCCCAATATCTAAAGGAGTAACAAAAAGCTTTGGACAAGGGCCTGTAGGGACAGACCACGGGGAATGGCTTTAACCTGCCCGAGGGCAGACTGAGCTGAGCTCTTAGGCAGAAGCTCTTCCCTGTGAGGGTGCTGAGGCACTGGCACAGGGTGCCCAGAGAAGCTGTGGCTGCCCCATCCCTGGCAGTGTTCAAGGCCAGGTTGGACACAGGGGCTTGGAGCAAGCTGCTCCAGTGGAAGGGGTCCCTGTCTGTGGCAGGGGTTGGAGCTGGAGGAGCTTGAAGGTCCCCTCCAATACAAACCAGGCTATGAAAAGTGCTGGGACAGGTTGTGCAGGGCTGGGGAATGACTTGGAAGTGTTTGCATACCATGTGATCTTGTGCTGTTCATTGCACAATAGGAATTGTAGGAAAGGTGCTGATAATGTTTATTAGTATAAATCATCAGGTAATTGGGAACGAGAGTACTATGGGTTGCCCCAGCCTTCAGGTCAGTGAAAAACTCTTGCAGAGGCAATGCTCTCAGTAGACAACTTTGAAGAAAAGGCATTTCTTTCACCCCCCTCCTCGAGAATTAAAATCCTGGATAAATTACTTCCCTGTGTTGCACATTGAAACAGAATTTGCTTTTTAAGCAGTTCACACCTGTTATTTTAAACTGCTTTCTTCAGAATCATTAGCTGTTAGAAACTACATTTTGTTAGTAAAGAAGAATATTACATTTGAATAAATCCATTTAGCCCTTTTTCTGCTTATACCATTTGCCATGGCATGTTTACCTTTGCTGGTGTTAAATGAGGTTATTAAACTTCATTATGCAAACCTGCTCTGTATAAGATCACGAGATATTTTGCATTGTGATTTAAAGTGAACACAGAATGCATCACACAGTGTTATACTTTGGAGGGCTTCTTCATTCAGGTTTTAATTATGGAACTGAACACAAGATATACCCTAAGGTATGCACCTCGAACAAAACAGTCTTTTTGCATATGCTGCAGATTTCAAATTGGTGCAATTTCATCACAGCTTTTTACAATAACTAATCTGGTTTAAACATCAATTTGTCAATCTGTTTTGACAGAAATTAGTGTTTGAGTTTGCATGGATATGCAACTTCACGTGAAGACAGGCATGAGGCTGTTTTCCTATTTGAAGAATTATCATTTAACCTTAAATCCATTCAGTATGTGTGTCTACATATGTATATTTGTTACAGAAGCAAAACAGCTTATTCATACAATACCAGGCTGTATTCTATACTGTGAAAAAGCAGATTATAAGTCTTTTTCTGTTTAACAGAGTTTAATGCTAATTGCTTTTCCCTTCCTTTATGTTTACTCTCTGAAAAGCGGTTCCTATTTGCACTGGATGGAGAAGGCAGGGAAGCACTGTTCCTCTTCATCTTGCAGGTTTCCTTCTCTGTCAGAGAATTCTGAAGTTTTTTCTCAACTATAAATCATCTATCAATTAATATACACTCTTTACCTTTTTAGCTTTTCTGTGATTTAGTTTGGTTTTATTGGGAAGCTGCTTATAACATCTTTTTAATGGCATGCTTTGACTTCCCAGAGCATCAGAGAACCAGAAAGGAGCTGGAGGGAAGAAGACCCCAATGTTGTGTGGTCAGTATCCGACTAAGAGTGAAGGGAAGGAGCTGAAGATCGTGGTACAGCCAGAAACCCAACACAGGGCTCGTTACCTGACTGAAGGCAGCCGAGGCTCAGTGAAAGACCGGACACAGCAAGGCTTTCCAACAGTCAAGGTAGGCTGCTTAGTGTTGAGTGACTCCTTCCCAAGTAGTGCTTAAGTAGAATGAGAACTGGTGCAAAAGGCCTAGAATCTCTGTTTTTAAAGGTAAGGGGGGAGACTTTGCAGTGCCTTCCTGTACAGATTATTGTTTCTTGCAGGTACCAGGAGGTCTCATTTGCATCACAGTTACAGGAGGAAGGAAGCTTTATGTCAAGGCAGTCCCTTTAGATTACAACTACAGAAATTCTCAAAATAGACACTTGAAGCATGCAAAAGTAGGACAGTGAAATGCTTTAACAAATGCAGCCTGTTCCCTGTATAGACCTGATATCTGTAAGTGTTGCTGGTCAATCGATCTGAGGCAGGAATGAGCAGCATGCAGGTTTGAATGGTGTCCTCAATCCTGCTGATCAGGGGAAGGACATGCGTAGAGCAGATGTAGTCAGGAATCCAGGCTCTGGCTGCATAGCTGGCTCTCCAGCATGCATTTAGCTTCTTTGTTCATCCTCCTTCATTTGGAGAAAAGAAAACGATGACTGATGCAATTCACGTTGCTCAGAGAGGGGGAAAGCTGTTGGTGGTGAGGCTTGCCAGCCTCTGGTGCCAGAGGGCTTTACTGTAAGTTCTTCAGAGGACGGGGACCAAAGCCCAGAAGAAAAGTAGGAGCTACAAATAGAGACGAAACATGAGGAAGAAGGCTACAGAAAGATCTTTTGCCTTCCTGCTCAGAAGGGTGACATTCAAAGGCTGTCTGCCAGTGCCTGCACATTAATGACCAGAGTGTGAATCTGCAGGTCTTGTTTTTTCCCTTGCACAGTTCAGGGAGCTGTGAGTTGACTGGAGTCACAGAGGCTTGGGGTAGTGTCTGGAATGCAGTCATGGATATGTACCAGCTGTTTAGAAAGAAGACAGGAGGTCATGTATCATGAGATGCTCCTTGACTGCACAGATCTTGAGCAAGAAATTGGAGACCAGAGGAGGGAGCAAGTTAGGGAAAATGTTTTGATATCTGTTACAGACTTCCTGTCTGAGAACAGTAGATGATGCAGGATTGTCCTGCATACAGACCTCTGACTGTGGAAGGTTTCAGCCATCTGTTCATCTGCAGGGTTCCATAGGCTGGTAGAAGCAATCAAAGAACTTGAGGGCTGCACTTGTGAAGACTTCCTGATGCAAATGGTAGAGGGTCTTACCAGGAGTAATGCTTTACTTGACTTAAACAGGAACAAACAGAAGAGCTGATGTCAAACACAATCGCAGAAGTTGCAGTGGTGAGAGTATAAAGGGTGGGGGGGGATGACACTGAACTCAGTACAAGCTGGCACTGCATGCTTGTTGGTAAGGTGAATATCATCCTGGTCATATTGGGTGAAGTGTGGTGAACAGGTAGAGCAAGTAGACAATTATCTGTTACACAACTAAGAAGGGGAAAAGACATTTCCTTTTTTATTTTTTATTAATTATGATGCTTTGAGAAAGCAGCAAGTTTTTAATCCAAATTTACCAGGTCCACAAAGGAGTGTTTACGATAGAGCCCTTAAAATTTGTACCGACTACTGCTGACAGAGTATAGAAGTATGCTTATCTTTAAAGTCCAGTTTGACAGCATTAGAAACATTTCCAACACTTCACTCAGAAATGTAGAAATCTGTTCCTTAAAGCAGATGTGGAAATTCTTTTCCTCAGAAATGTAGAAATCCAGTTAAGTTTCATAAGAAAAGAATCTGTTCATATCATCCTGTTGCTATGGTGATTTAGTGCTTATTTATGCAAAATTTCTTAATGGGTCTTTGTTCATCTGAATTTCCTTTTAATTCCTTTCCAAGTCATCCTTTAGTACCCGTCAGTGAAAACTCTGTTTGGAAGAGTCTTATGTTACTGAATTCCTGGAAGCTCAAGCTTGCCGTACCAGTAGGTAAACTAGTTCATATGCTGCATATTAAAGTCTGCCAGGGCTGGACAGACAAAATGAGTCAGTGGATCTTCAGGAAATCTGAGCTAGTGATGAAAAATCTGTAAAGGACAAGAGGGCTTTTGGTTTGTGTTTTTCTTGGGTTGTTTAAAAGGTTGGGAAAAAGAGTATAAAAACGTTGCTTGTTCAGAAGAGATCTGGTGCTTGCTCTTCTCTGGCAGCATGAGCAGCCATTCACATGCATCACTCCTAAGTAAACTGAGAGGAGAAGTAGGAGGTTCTGTGGTCTAAGGAAAGCCATGTTACTTGATGACTTAGAACTAGGGAGACTACAATCAATATGCAACATTAAAATTGTGTAAATGAACCTTAATTTAAGTGAATTCGCTGGCAAAAGAAAGATTATCCTGAATGCAGAGTGTCAGAAGAGGTGTCCCTGCCATCAGTAACATCTTCATGTTGTCTTGCTAATGGTATCTCAGAGCTGGAGCAGTTACCACCCAGATCATGTGAGATACTTCTGCACTATGTCCGTATGTTCTTCTAACAAGAACACCAGAAAGAAAAGAGACACTACTTAGCTGTGAGGATGCTCTTTCTGGCCAAGGAGGCCATGGTGATGTGACACAAAGACTGTTCTTTCTGTTTTCCATGTAAATGGTAGAATATCAGAGTACCCTTTACTTCTCACTGCCTTTTGACCGCCTCGTGAACTTAAGTCATCTCATAGGCTGTTTTCATGGTCTCTTCACTTATGCTGTCTTAGCTCCTGAGCTCTCTGCTAGGAACCCTGCCTGTTAGTGCTTGTTTCCTACTTGGAAGCCTGTCAGTTGGCCAGCTGCCGATACCTTCTAGCTTTGCGCATCCATAATGGTCAGAATACCCACCTCATTGCTTATTGTTCCTTTTGGACATGAGTAACATTCTGTTCTTAGCAGTGTTTGCTCATTTTGCCCTTTTCCAAACTTGTTGAGAAGTTCAAAACTGAATTTTCTAAGTTGACAGGGATAAATCCCCTAAAAGATCCTCTGGAGGATTCTGCTCTCATTTGCATCTTTTTACTAATAAAATTTGAGCTTCTTTCTGCCAGTTTTGACTGGGCTTCTGGGCCTAGGATGAAACGTAACATTGGCACCCAGAAATTCTCTAGCAACAATTGTGGCTTAATGAAAACATTGCAGATACTGGTTTTATCTCCTCCTAGAATGCTCTGGCAAAGAATTTCTCTCTCACATGGGAATCTGGCAGTGACCTCACGTTTCTTTTTACTCAGGAATATTTTTCTTAACTACTACCTAAAAAAAAGTAAAATTACTTTGTAATACAATGCCCAGATTTACTTCAAGACTTCTTTTACATCACAGTAAAAATAAATTTTACCTGTTTATTAAATGACTGTCTTTTAATGGAAGAACGAATGGCAAAAGATAAAGAGGTTAGCATTTTGTTCATAAACTAGATGAAAACTTTGTGTTTCTTCTGCCCTTAGGGTTGTTTTCCAGCAACACTCAGAGCTGATTTAATTCAAATTCACCTGCATAAAATATTTTGTGTTTTAATTGAGTCCTATTGAAATGTTTAATTTGTGGTGGTGTGTTTCAGCTGGAAGGTCACAATGAGCCGGTGGTGCTGCAGGTATTTGTGGGTAATGACTCTGGTCGAGTGAAGCCACATGGGTTCTACCAGGCCTGCAGAGTTACTGGGAGAAACACTACCCCCTGTAAGGAAGTGGATATAGAGGGAACTACTGTTATTGAGGTTGGACTGGATCCAAGCAACAATATGACACTTGCGTGAGTAGCTTTTTTTTTTTTTTAAGAAAATTAATTTATTTTCAGAAACTGATTTCCTATTTTGATTGGGTGGGTTAGTAGTTAAAAGTCTGAACATCTTGAAACAGACCAGGTACTTAGTGAAGGTGTGGGTATAAGAAAAAACTTTTAAATCACGTTCTCAATTTGTTTACTTTATTGAATTCTTAGCCTGGTCTTCCTTAAACTTTATCAATTAATTGTTACATTAGTTTCACATTGTGTTCAATCAGTAATATGCATATTAAAGCATGAGGTGAATTACAAGCTGATTGGTGATTCTTCTGGTTGTCTTCTTTTAACAAGTAAGAATTGCTGATCAGATGCAAACTTCAGATGCAAGTGATTTCCTAATAAGCTTTTTACATGTATCTTAACATACAGAAAGGGATTGATCTTTTTTCAAATAATGCTTTTCAGTAGAATGTGTTCTTTTCAATGGGTATGTGATTGAAAGCTGCCACTCTTTACTTGGCAGCTAGTCTCGTTTCAAGAGAAGAAAGGTTTATTTAATTTTAAGTATCCACTTCTCCAGTAGGATAATACAGTTTGTTAATAAACTGTATCAGTTTTATTTTTTAAAGGTAAAATATACTCCCATGATAAATTTGGAAACTGCCTCTTGGAGAGTAATTTTATAATTGTCCTCAAGTGTTAATGTAAAACCATGTAAGTATAGTGATGCTAGAAAGATGAATTTGGAATTACCTGGGAAGCATATTTTTGATTAGGCTGTTCTCTTGTAAGAAATCTTGATGTCTCAAAAGAAATCTTCCTGGTATTTCAGTGACACTGTAGCACCTCTCTATTGATGGTAATGCTGCTGCCACCTTCTGAATCACACTCTTCCCTCCTGTCTGCTCCCTAGCTATTGCTTGTTGGCCCTCATGCAGCACAAAACTTTGTTGTACTCAGATTAGATATCAGATGGTCCCTGTACTGTTTGGATGTAGAGCCCAAGATCCTGGTAAAATTACAGTATTATTCTTAACACATCATGCGGTGTTTGGTTGGAGTTTTTGTTCTTTTGTTTGAAATAATTTTGCATCTAGCATGCCTTTTTGAAAGTTAGCACTGCCTCTCTCTCACCCTGGCCCTGTAGACATTTCCCAGAGGGCCACAGTTATCTTATGACATAGCTATCACTTTCAAGTTCCACTGAGCGTAAAAAATAATATGATTACAATGACTTTTCTTCTACCGTTCTTAAAGGAAATGCAGAATATTTTGTAGTAATAATCCTACAAATCCAGATCTAGCCCCTGGAATGGAAGAGTGGAGACCTGTGATTAGAAACTGAATGCTAACTAGAATGACTTGTTATATCGCATTTGCTGTTTTATTCATACTGCTTTATTATTCTTTCCTTCCATAATCCATCATAAAATGGTTTGGGTTGGAAGGGACCTGAAAGCTTATCCAGTTCCATCTTCCTGCCATGGACAGGGACACCTTCCAGTAGAGCAGCTTGCTCCAAGCCCCTGTGTCCAACCTGGCCTTGACCACTGCCAGGGATGAATGGGGCAGCCACAACTCTGGGCACCCTGTGCCAGCGCCTCAGCACCCTCACAGGGAAGAGCTTCTGCCTAATATCTAACCTGAACTTCCTCTGTTTCAGTTTAAACCTATTCCCTCTTGTCCTATCGCTACAGTCCCTGATGAAGAGTCCCTCATCCAAGTAATGTAAGGTTGAATTGAAAAGTGATCTGTGTAGTGAGAAAGGTTGTGTAGAGATTTCATTAAAAAAAAAAAGAATATTTCAGTAATTACTTCCAGAGTTTTGACTTACGGCCTATGTAACTTGTTGAAAGACTATTAAAGATGCTGAACTTACTGAACTCTATTAAACTTACCGCTGTTTTGTGTTGATAGGGTTGATTGTGTGGGAATACTGAAGCTAAGAAATGCTGATGTTGAAGCTAGGATAGGGATTGCTGGCTCGAAGAAAAAAAGCACACGTGCTAGGCTGGTATTTCGTGTTAACATCACTCGCAAAGATGGTTCAACTTTGACTCTTCAGACACCCTCTTGCCCGATTTTGTGCAGTAAGTATCAAAAAGTTGGTATTATTGGACTCTGAATTTTAGTGTGATTGCCATAAAATGCCTCAGGGAAAAAAGCCCACCCCAGTGTAATTCCATGACTGTTTCAGAATTGCTATGGCTAAGATGATGTGAATTAATTTTTATTTGAGGTGGGATGTTAGACAGATGACTGACCGGTATTTAAAAGTAGTTATGAATTTCCTCATCTTCTATTAAATGAGTCTTTGCCTTTTAAACAGTCAGATTTTTTTGTCTTTTTTTTTTTTTTTAACTTAGATATGATTTTTGAGACAAGTTTTAATCTCTTCTGTACTGTGATGTTCATCTGGCAGCTTTCAGTGACCGAAAAGACTTCTAATGAGTTAGTGACCATGGTTCTCTACAGTTGTGGTAGTTCGCTGGGCCAGAGGCTGAATCTGTTCTGGTTCAGTGCAAGAATGGAACATTTTATTGCTCTTTATTAAAATGCTCTATTTAGCACTGAGCACAGATGGCTGCACTGACTGGTTTGGTTATGCTGAACAACAGGGAAATTAAACTAGAAAGGGCTGCATGTGTCTGTAGAGTCTGTAACAGCTTCCAATTACATGGAATTCTGGTCATCTGCAAAAGAGAAAAAATAGGGAAATGTGTTTAATACAGCTGTTGATGGGGTTACTGGTATTTCTCAATGAACAAGAAGATAGAGCTTTTTCTCCATATGCGTGAAACATACTGTGGTTATGCAAGCTCCTTGTGTCGTGCTCTTTCCATTGTATAAGAAGTTCTTGGGTTTGGTGGGTTTTTGGTTTTCTAAACCCTGTCAGTACCTATTGTGTCAGGGCTCCTATTCAACTCATCAAAAATTGCAGCTTTGTTGCCAGTGAAAGAACAGATTGTAAGAGGAGATAATTAAAACCATGTGAGCTTCCACATCAGCTACCACCATGCGGTTCCAGTGCTGCAGGCAGCAGGCGATTCAGCAGATGTGGCATGTGGCCCATCCCTCCTTCCAGTCTTCTGCTCTTGCAGAGAATCCGTATGCAAGACTCGGGTGGATCAGGAGCCCAGCAGAAGCCCTAATAAAGCTGATAACTAAAGATGTGCCACTGCTGGTGCAGGGAAGGGCTCTCCTCCTGTCCTCAGCCATGTTCTCTGCTTTAGGCAGTAGTTTGACTTTTGGTGTGCTCTCCCAGAGCTTGGCGTTCCACTCCCTCTCTTTTCCTCTCTTGCAACCTTTTGCTAAATCTTTTCCCAGTGTTTTTTTTTAACTGGTGGAGCTCTCAGATGTAGGCATTTATGTTATTGGAAAATACGTAAGTACATTTGCTAGAGCTATGATTGTCTCTAGCTCCATTCCAGTCAGTGCAGCATTGTAGTATCTGACACTAATTTTCAGATTTAAGAAAAAAACATTTTCTATAAAATCTGTAAGATCAGTGTCTGCATACATTTTATTTGTATCATTAATTTACTGGTTAAAGTTATTTAAATAATAGCAGAAATGGGAACAGAAATCATCTGATGTTTTCTTAAGCACGTAAGAATCCAAAACTTGCTACTGTAGATAGAAGCTGAGTGTCTGACATGTTTTAGGAAATTTAAAGATAGGCTGTTCAACTAAAAAAGCTGTATTTGATGCAGTTTCTGCTCAGCTTGTTGGTAAAGTCATTTTAGTACTGGCTTATGATGATCCCTTGTAATTTTCTTTCTGTTTGTTGAATGAAGCCATTTATACCTGTAGCATTAGTAGCTGTATTTTGAGATACGGGCGGTGAGTAAAAAGTGGAATATATGATTGCTAAGGGCCATTATAAGAAAAGGAAGAAGGAAAGAAGGACATAAAAGTTATCCTTCTATAAATAAAGTTCTAAAAAATTGCTTTAGTTTTTAGCAAGGTGGGGTTTGGTCAGTTGATAAGAAATTCTTCCTAGTTGTGTAAATCGCCATGAGTTTGCCCAGGAATTTTATAGCATCTCCGTTGCTGGACACCTAAAACAAAGAAACAAAATACTCTGGTTAGAATCATGTCTTTGAGTAATAGCGTGGGTAAAACTAATTGTGATGTGAAGGTTGAGAGGGGAATTCTTAAGGCTTTTCCATGGCTTCTGTGCTTCTGCTTCTTAACTTACACCAAAGTCACAGTGATTTCCAGCAGACCTTAGCCAACAAAACTGTGCCGGTATGTACATACTGGCTGATCCATATGGCATAAAATGTTGTTTATGAAGTTACTCATTTATATAAATCGTGTCCTCAGGCACATTACACCTGGTTTGTTTGCTACACACATCTTATTACAGATGTGTACTTTATTTTCTCATAATGAAGTTTACTTTATCACTCATCACAGCCTGCTTATATTGTGTGCTGTCACTAATACTGCTGTCAAAGCTGCATTACTGTTCTTGAAACCATAGGAAAGATGTTGAATAGATGCAGGCTCTTTATTTAAGGTCTGTGTTTTAAACAGGCTTTGTTCACTTGCTAGCAAACCTAAATCCAGTTACGCTTTTCAGACATTCATGTGTCTTTAGCATATTTAGTAGTTGTGTAATGGTTGCCTGGGAACCTGCTGCAACACTTGTAGAAAAAGCGTCTCTGAAAGGTCATCAGATAATTTGGAATGTTACAGTGTTATCTTCTATGTAGTAAGCCCACAGAATATTGTTAACACTAAAAGTAGGCCGTGTAAGTGCAAAGCACAAGTACAATCTTATGTTACTTGGATTTTGTGGTGAATAGAAAAGGTGGTTGAGAAACTTTTATTAGAAGCTGGAATTACTTTATAAAATATGAAATGTGACAAAGTACATAATTTTAAAATGTATGTCTATTTAAATTGCCTTTGGTGCTCATTTTCATTTAACACACGCGGCCTTTATGCTTTAAGAAGCATAGAAATAGTTTCAGCAAAGATACTGTGTTATTGCAAATCACCACCTGAATTGCTGTCTGAGAGGTGTAAGTTTCCAGGGGTGTGGAACTGTAAGCTGCATTCTCTTTGCTAGTTCATAGGACATAAATTACTATAATCCCCAACTACACAAACGTTACTCTTGCAAGGGTTTCTATTAACTGAAGTATATAATTCTAGAAAGTAATGGAATGGTTTGGGTTAGAAGGGACATTGAAGCTTACCTATTTCTGCCATGATCAGGGACGTCTTCCACTAGACCAGGTTGCTCAAAGGCCTTGGTTAGTTCTTGAACCAGCCAGGAAGCTACCTCATGTAAAAAAATAAACAAAGTTGAAAAAAATCCAGGAGAATTACTACTTGCACCCTTTTGCATAGGAGGACAAAATGAGCTTTATATTAAATGGGTAGATTTGAAGATGTGTTTGAGGTGTGTCTAAGGACTGATGCATTTGTTTATCGCTTTCTATGCCAGGAAATTACAGGACCAAAGTTTCTTGAACTTTAACACTGAAAGTTTCAGTTTTGAGGATTTAATAAATACAGGAGAAAAAGGAAAATATTATTAGTGGATCATTTCCCTAAGTGGGATTTTTGAGGCCTTTGCATTTAGTGAGGAGATAATAGAAATGGTTATTGTCTGAAAAGCTTTTTAAATTAGGGATATAGTAAAGGAAGAGCTGAGGAATTATTTCGTAATCCTGTAAGTAAAAGTTTTTTGTTTTGGATGTTGATATTTTCTTGATTTCAGACTATTTTTTTTCAATTGCAGCTCAACCAGCAGGAGTTCCAGAGATCCTAAAGAAAAGTCTGCACAGTTGTTCAGTGAAGGGTGAAGAGGAAGTTTTTCTGATTGGCAAGAACTTTCTAAAGGGAACAAAAGTGATTTTCCAAGAGAACATTTCTGGTTAGTGTGAAAGCAGTAACAGCTTGGGGTGCTGAAGAGGGCGTGCTGCTGGGGTTTACACTGAGTGATAAAGTTTAGTTGTAGAGAGCAAACTGACAGGCAGAATCAAAGACAGTAAAATAAATTTCTTTATATGGATGCACAATAAATTATGCTTTTTAATTTTCATTTAGATGACAATTCATGGAAGGCAGAGGCTGAAATAGACATGGAATTATTTCATCAGGTACTTCTGTGTTGTTATTACTATTATTGTATTTAAATAAGAAAAAATACTGTTTCCAAAGAAAAATTAAATAAGCCTTTCTTTTTTTCTGTGCATTTCTAGAAATAATACTCCTTTTCTTAAAATAGGTTCTATAGTGAATCTGGTTGAATATCACTGGTTTGGGTTTATACAAGTACAGTTGTTAGATTTCTAATTAAGAATTTCAATACCACAGTAGGAGTGTGGTATGTGGAGCAGGTGTTTGCCCTTACATACAGTTTAATTAAAAGGCCTAATCCAGTTTTTCCAGTAGCTTTCCTAAGGCCACGTTAGATTAGTACTGAGTGGAAATAGATGGTATACACCATAGTCTTTATAGCTGGCTTGATTTATGTTCCATTCTGAAATGTTTTACAAAATATTTCTTTCTTCTTTTTGCCACAACTGTCATTATGAACTATTGGACTGAAATTAGAGAAATTATTAGATATAAATGACATTTGACAAACTTCACCTTGCTCCCATCTCCGTAGGCAGTATTCCATGTGCACACTGATAGAAATGATTTCTCACTTCCAGTGCGTATTTGGGGAATAAAGATCCCTCATCGCCATTCCTGTTGGTGAATGACTGTAGGCCTATTTTTTGATGTCTGCTCTGTATTAAATCTGCTTAAATGTAACATGAAACTGCATCCCTGCATCCTCCGTCTTTTCACACTGAATACAGAGACCTGAGTCAGCAGAACATGAAGTGTCTGAATCCAGCAGAACTTGATGGGAAACTGACTGCAGTTCAATAAGGCATGTTAGGCATAAGCTTATGCTTAAAGTACTGGACTTTGTCTCTCCATTTGAATTGCAGGTCACCAATGAGCATCATATAGGCAGATTATTCAAATCTCGCTCCTAGCACTAGTCAGGTATCAGTTTACTTCACTGAAGGTGTAACTTGATCACATTTCCCCCACTGTCTTTGTTTTTTGGTGTTTTATCAGTCTGTTTCTCTGTGTTGATGGATATAATACAATTAAGGTGGTAAAGTTAGGCTTCTGATGTGATTTTAAAATTATTTTTGCATTGCAGAATCATCTTATTGTGAAGGTGCCCCCATATCATGACCAGCAAATAACCTCAGCTGTTTCTGTGGGAATATATGTTGTGACCAACGCTGGAAGATCACGTGATGTGCAGCCATTTACATACACTCCAGATACATGTATGTGAAATAAAAATCTGGAGGAAAAAAGGGGCAGTTTTACCTGAAAGCATTTTGGATTTGATTTCATAGCATTTAATCCATGCAACAGAAACGTTAAGTAATGTGGACCTTTTCAAGCTCATCTTGCTGGCAGTGTTTACTCTGTTAAATAATAAAATATAAAGGCTTGGCCTTTCTCATTTATGTGGCAGGTATCTCAAAATTTCAGCTGCATGGAGATAGCTGTTCTTATGAAGTAGCATCCATTTCTAGCCTAAGGTTCAGAATGAAGCTGAGCAGAAAAAAAGGAAACACATTACATTCACTGCAACAGATCCAAACAAAAAGTAGCACCAAGGTTTATCCTGAGGAAGGTTTAAGTTTGACCATATCAATGTATTTTTGTTTATTTATCTATATTACAATACACAGTCCAAAAGTTTGTTTGGGTTTCAAAGAACCTCAGTTTCTTTAGTATGTAAGTAACTGTTTTGGTTAGCTTGGTTTTTTTTGCTTATTTGCTGTTTTAACATAAGGAAGTTCTCAATGTGTTTTGTCTCAACAGCTGGTACTCTGAATGTTGATGTGAAAAAGGAAATCTCCAGCCCAGCCCAACATTGTTCTTTTGAGGAGGCTATAAAAGGTACTAAATTGATTCTTATCATTGTTGTTAATAATTTTAACTATAAATTCCTACTCAGATTTGGAGGAATGAATCAGATGTCCTGTGAAGATAAGTTTGTTCTTATAAAATTTGGCCACATTCTTACAGTGAGGTTAGTTTTCTGGTTCTGAATATTTTGCTTTGTAACAGTATTCTTTTACGTATATTTTAACATGAGCTAGTATAGAACAAAGCCTGCAAAAAATATTTTTCTTCTGTTTTTTGTTTATTTCACTTTTTATTGCTAAGGTTCTGAAGTCTAATCTTCATTTAATATGATTGCAAGTGAAGAATTAAAAAAGAAAGAAGCCAAAGATTTATAAACAAAGGATTTAGAAACGGTGAAGTGTTAATTTAAGCAAAACTAAAGGTAGTGGTGGGGAAGAACTGAATACTGAAAACATGAACATACCAACCGGTATTTTTTGGATGCTCTCCAGTGGTTTTATGAGATTGCTTTCAATGGGTCTAGTTAAGAATGCTAGTTCTGGCACTTTCAACTTGTTCCTTTCAGTGAATTGTTGTTGTTTTGTTTGGGGTTTTTTGCTTTTTTTATTTTTTTCCTTTTTTTTTTTTTTAATTTGTTTTCATTTTTTTTCTGACCATTCATGCCATGCAAAGTTTGTTGTTTTGTTCCAAGGGAGCAAGATTTAGGTTTGCCTGGTTTTTAAGTGTTCATTAAATTGGTGCTTTTGATAGTGAAATAAAGTAGAGGAAGGAAATGTTTCTTAGTTGACTGTTAAAACTATGGTAGTATACAAAGATTAATGGAAATTTCCATAGCCTGCTCTGTTGAAAGCAGATTGAAAGTAAGTAAATTAGCAATGTGATCACAAGTTTGATAGGAATACATAGCTTCAGGTTAAAATTATGAAGCTCAAATTTGAAGGTAATAGCTTGGTCTTGGCAGGGGATGTATTTATAAGTTGACTTTACAACTTGTTAGGGAGGATAATACAAGATATGATGAGTTTAAACCTGCAGAGAATGTTTGACGGAGAAATATGCAAAAATATTTAGGGCAGTGAAACAAGCTGATAAAAGAACTGTTAAGACCTCTAGTAGCAAGATCAAAAAGATGAGGAAAATAACTTATTTTTATATCAGGGCAAGCTTGACATCCAACTAATTTAGCATGGAGGCTTAACAAGGGAGGATATCAACTGCAGTGGGAGAACATCTGCTGTTCATAAAATGTGCTATTTCTATTGCTTCGTGTCCTCCATTTAATTTATGTGATAAATCTTGATTTACTTTCTTGTGTGGGTTTTATGCTAGGCAGCTCATTTTGATGGACTCATTCCTGTACCTGTTCTGCTCTAGGCTGATCATGAACCAGATAGTTCATGATCAAAACCAGATCAGTTTTGCCTGCTTCATGTGCTTTGTCTCTGATTATGCCCCAGATAAAGGTGGGGATCCAGTGGGATGCTTTATGTTAAAGATTAGTCCTCTAATGTATTTACAGTTATATGGAACTATAATTTTTACGTGCTTTCCCATTGGTTTGTTTTAAGCTCAATTTGAGCAGTATTTGACATCAAGAAAGTTAATTTTATTTACAGCAAAGATCTCAGCTTATGTATTTTTTTAAATGTGGATCAGGAAAAATCAGAATTTAAAAGATCTAATTCATTTTAAGAAGCCACCTTTCTGCATTAAAAAAAATTGAAGAAACTAATCACTATAAAGGCAGAATTACAACTGGCTCTTGCTACAGAGCTGACGTGCAGGTTTATCAAGGTTTGCTTGGTTATTCCTTTAACAGAATAAAAATACAGTCTGAATGCTTTGAGCACTCTGTTCTCATAGTTATCTGAAAACAGACGTTTTTTCAAAATGAAATAGAGAATTTGCACAGTTAAAGTGCAGTAAAGTTTAGAATGAGAATTTGTGGAAAGATATCTTAAGCTTCTATGTTTGTAGTTCAGGCAGTTGGTAGATGGCTCCTCTTGGTCCAGAAATGTACAAAATGGAAGAAAATCAAAACTATGACATTTTTGTTAGTCTTAAAAGTAACCTTTGAAGGTTGTGATACCTCTTCGTGCTAGCATCTTGTATCAGGGTGAGAGCTCTTGTGGTAAGGCTGAAAAGTGAAATGGCGAGCAGGCCACTACTAGAAATCCACCCTCTGTATAATGGGTGTTAACTTTCCATTGCCCTTCCTTTGTTTTTATGTGTAACCTGCAGCAGTGAAAGCCACTGGTTGCAACCTGGAGAAGGTCAACATTCTTCCTAGTGCCTTGATAACTCCGCTTATGCCAACCAGTATGATTAAGAATGAAGATGTGGCTCCAATGGAAGTAAGTGCAGAAAAAAGATCTCCCCCTGTCTTCAAGGTAAGTTTGATTGTGATCTGAAGGCTGTAGCTTTAATAGTTACATCTACCCATCAGTCCAAGTTCTAATAGTGGAGAAGTGTAACACACAGGGAAAACGTCAGGTCTTGAGATTGGTCTGGACAAAACACACAATCTCACTGAGCATGATTACATAATTATTTAATAATAAATATCTATAATAATTTTCTCTGAAAGTAACTTACCTTGTTTCACTCTCAATTCCAGTGTTGATTGGTTAATGATACTATGATTTATTTTGTTTTTTTGTCCCTTTACACAGAACTAGTAAATCACTGTAAGAATACTGTTTTAATCACTTTTTAGCTTTGCTTTTGTGAAATTGTACCTTAATTTCTTCCTTAAAGTAGCATTTCCGCTGCTAGTCATTTGCTTATTTGTTTGGTTATGTATGGAGAGATGGATACATAGCCATCAAATCTTCCATCTGATCTGGCTTGAAGACTGTGATTGGTGGAAATTTTATAAGCATAACCCAAGTAAGCTTATGAATTGCTTAATGTCTGGCTCTTTTCAGGCTTCAAGTGTGGTTGGACCAACTCAACAAACATTGGAAAACAGTATGTCTGGCATATCAACTTCTGCTTCCCATTTACCTTCTGAAAATGAAAACCAGCAACAAATACAGCCGAAGGTGTATAGTCCAGAGACACTAACTACTATCCAAACACAGGACATTTCCCAGCCTGGTAGCTTTTCAGCAGTCTCAACTCCAGGTCAGCTGCAGAACAGTGATGCATTATTGCAGCAAGCTGCACAGTTCCAAACAAGAGATGCCCAAGCCAGGGAAGTCTTGCAGTCAGATGGCACGGTAGTCACTTTGTCACAGTTAGCTGATCCATCACAACAACAACAGTCTGCACTCTCAGAACCAGCACAGGCATTGCAGCAACAGATTTCATCAAGTATTTTCTCATCAGCAAGTGGTGTGAGTCAGTTACAGAACACTATCCAGCAACTGCAAGCTGGAAATTTTCCAACAAACACTGCCACTGGCAGCAACAGAAATGTTGACTTGGTGCAGCAGGTATTGGAAGCTCAACAGCAATTATCTTCTGTTTTATTTTCTGGTTCAGACAGCAGTGAGGATGTTCAAGATCAGCTAAATGCCGATATCTTTCAGCAAGTTAGCCAGATACAAAATAGTGTAAATCCTGGCATATTTTCCTCATCAGACACAGCTGTCCATTCCAGACCAGAGAACCTTTTGCCTGGACGAGCTGAAAACGTTCACTCACAGCCTGAAAATGCATTGTCCAGTCAACAGCAACAACAACAGCAGCAGCAGCAGCAGGCTATGGAGACTTCTGCAGCAATGGTGATAGGAATCCAACAAAACATTTGCCAGGCTGCCACACAGATGCAGTCTGATTTGTTCTCCTCCACAACATCAGGGAATGGAGCCCTGCAACAGTCACCTGTTTACCAGCAGCCTTCCCACATAATGAGTGGGTTATCAACAAGTGAAGACATGCAAATGCAGTGTGAATTGTTCTCTTCATCTCCTGGTGTTTCTGGAAGTGAGACTACTCCTGCTGCTCAGCAACAGGTCTCCAACAATGGACCTGCTATGTTTCAGACCTCAAATTCTGCAGATGGAGAAGAAGCCTCAGGACAGAATAAACAGATGCAAAGCACCGTATTTCAGACCATGGTTCAAATGCAGCATAGTGGAGAAAGTCAATCTCAAGTTAATCTCTTTTCATCTACTAAAAACATGATGGCTGTTCAGGCAAGTGGAACTCAACAACAAGGAAGTGGGCTGTTCCAGCAGGGCGGAGAAATCATGTCTATTCAGTCAGGAAGCTTTATGCAGCAGTCTCCACATTCACAAGCTCAGCTTTTTCACTCTCAGAATCCTATTGGTGATACTCAGAATATATCACAAGAAACACAAGGCTCTATTTTCCACAGTCCAAATTCCATTGTCCACAACCAGACCAGTGCCAATTCCTCAGACCAACTGCAGCCTCCAATGTTCCACTCACAGAACACCATGGGTGTATTGCAGAGTTCTTCAGTTCCTCAAGACCAGCAGTCAGCCAACATGTTCCTTTCCCAGAGTTCAATGAGCAATGCTGCAACTCAGGAAGACCAGATGTCATTCTTTACAAGCCCAAATTCCATTTCTCCTCTTCAGACAGCAACAAACACTGAACAGCAGACTTCTTTCCAGCAGCAGACACAGATATCTCATATCCAGAGTACTATGCTTCCCCAGGAACAGGCCCAGACTCAGCCTGCTCAGCAAGGTTTGTTTCAGTCTCAAGTGTCACTAGGCTCCATGCAGTCCAGCTCAATTCCTCAGAACCAGCAAGGAGCTATCTTCCAGCCTCAGCATTCAATAGTTGCTATTCAGAGTAGTCCTCCATCCCAAGAACAGCAGCAACAACAACAGCAGAATATGATGTTCAGTAATCAAAATGCAATGAGTACAATTGCTTCTCAAAAGCAGAACATGATTTTCAATCCAAACCAAAACCCGGTTACCAATCAGGATCAACAAGGCCAGTCCATTTTCCATCCACAGACTAACATGGCGTCAATGAACCAGGAGCAGCAGCCCATGCAATTCCAGAGTCAGAGTACCGTATCTTCTCTTCAGACTCCTGGATCCAGCCAGGCTGAAGCACAGCAGCCAACCATCTTCCATAATTCACCCCAGATTCAGTTGGTCCAAGGATCACCAAGTTCTCAAGAGCAACAAGTCACCCTCTTCATCTCTTCAGCTTCCATGTCTGCCTTGCAGAATACTATGAGCCAGCAAGAGCTGCAGCAGTCTCCTATGTATTCGTCTCAAAACAGCATGGCAGGAATGCAGGGAACTGCTTCTCCTCCACAGCAACAAGCTTCTTTATTCCACAATGCAGCAGGAGGTGCTATCAATCAGCTGCAGAATTCTCCTGCTTCATCTCAGCAAACATCAGGAATATTCCTGTTTGGCATTCAAAACAGTAAGTGACAGATGCCTGATTCTAAGTTTACAATTCAGAGGAGATACTGATTGGTTTCTGCAGGACAGTGATAACTCAATTCTAAGGTATTCAAAAAAATTAAAATATTCTGGAATGAGTAACATAGCGCCTCAATTGAGAATATACATACTCAACAGGGTGCTCTGAATGTTGCTTAGCTTAAATACCCGTTGGTTGTCTTACATTTAGGATTAACATATGACAAAACATCTTACATGTGTGTGTATATATATACAGAAATAAATATATGATATATTCTAGAAATATTATTAATAACTCTATACAAATATTTACATAAAATACATCTACACATGTGTTAAACGGTTATGCCTTCTTAAGGCAGCTCCACTGGTGTTTCTCTTGGTGCATTATGTTTCCACAGTTCACACAATGGTTTTTTGGAGAAGGCTCTGGGGAGACTTCAGAGCATTTCCTAGTGCCTAAAAGGGTTGACAGGAAATCTGGAGAGAGGTTTTGGACAAAAACCTAGAGGGACAGGACAAAGGGAAGGGCTTTAACCTGCTGAAAGGGGAATTGAGATGAGCTCTGAGGCAGAAGCTCTCCCCTGTGAGGTGCTGAGGCGCTGGCACAGGGTGCCCAGAGAAGCTGTGGCTGCCCCGTCCCTGGCAGTGTTCAAGGCCAGGTTGGACACAGGGGCTTGAAGCAAGCTGCTCTACTGGAAGGTGTTCCTGCCCGTGGCAGGGGTTGGAACTGGATGAGCTTTAAGGTCCCTTCCAACCCAAACCAGGCTGTGATTGTATGATACAACACTTGTCCTCTGCTGTGTGTTTTGTTTTTCTTCTAGATAAGTGTTCTCCTCTGGGCTGTTAATAGTGTTTGGTTATAATAGAGTATCCATATATGCAATCTCTAGACCTCGAACCACTGCTCACACCCTGAGGTAGTGGAGTAGGGGGGGCTGTGTGAACAAAAGTGCACATAACTTTCTAGATAGATAATATGTGAAGAAGTTGGCTGGTTCACTGCATGTATTAACCCAATTTAAATGGTCCCTTGTCTTTCATTTACTGTTTAACAGACTGTGGCCAGCTGCTGACTTCTGGACCAGCGACATTGCCCAATGAGTTGATGGCTATAAGTCAGCCAGGTCAGCCACAGAGCGAGGGACAAGCAGCCGTGCCAACGCTTCTTTCCCAGCAGATGCCTGAGACATCTCCACTACCTTCAGCTATGGCAGCCAACCAGAATATTGAGAAAATAGATGATCTGCTCGTGTCATTGCAAAACCAGGGGAACAATATGGCTGGCTCCTTTTAACTGGTAAATAAGTGATGTGTTTGGGTTTCTGGGCTCTTTGTTGCCACACAGGCTTTTGTTCAGTAAGTCTTTACTTTGAAATGTATCACCATGCCTTATGAAATGTATCACCAGCTAAAATACCAGTTAAGATGAATTAAGAATATAGTACTGGTGGCTAAAATGAAGGGTTAATTTATAACAGTCAGAGGTCAGGACTTAGATTGAAATAGATGGTTGAGATTGGTTATCATTGTTCAGTTGCTGTATGTTTTGTCATCTGCTGTTAGGGTGTAATACTTTATTAGGTAGGAAGGAGAGCAGATCACTGACATCTTGTCAGATAAAAGTGTTATGAAATACAACCATAGTTAAAAACTTAAGGCTTATTGAATAAATAACAGCTCAAGTCTGTACTATTCTGAAGTTGCTCCCCGGGTTCCAGTAACATATGTGAAAACAAGTTTTGGTAGAACATAGCATCTCTTGAGAGTGCACAGCATGCTGAGTCTTTGTGAAAACGCCATCAGCTGTTACTAGGAAACAGTCCGCTTTTAGAAGGTGCCTTTTTCAGAGAGGTGAAAGAGGCTTTGACTACAAATGAGTACCAAGAACCAGGACGTCTCTGGAATATAGTATCGTCCACAGTGTGTAACTTGGCTCTAGTTAACTGTGTGACTGTCCTAAATTCCCTGTAAGTTTTGCTTAAGCAATACACTTCATTTTCTAATCTGAATTGTTTTGTATACGAAGTTACAAACTGTGGAAGGCAAGTAATGCTACCCTGTGAAAGAGTGCTGCATTCTGTTAGTTATATGTCTGCTGGTGAACAGCACTTCCAATATGAAGAAACTAAACTGAATTAAGGGTATGGCTTTTGTTATTTTTTAACTGTTTTGCTTGCTTGTTTTTTCCTGCAGAAATTCTGTGAAGAAAAAAGTGATGATTTTGCAGATCCTCTCAGACCTTCCAGCTCTGGATTAGTTTGTGTGGAACTGATTGCTTTTGTCAAAGAGTAGCCCGCCTTTTTAAAGAGCACACACATGGCCAATTGCAGCATCTAGCACCTAAGGCTATGACCATAGTGTTTGGGATTTGTAGTGCCAATAATGCTGAAAAGCTATGCTTTGTTTTACTAGGGCATGGGATTGTACTATTACCAGATTCCTAAACCTCATTAACAGTGGGGTGCTCTTTGAATTTAAAGCATATCTGATCAGCTATTATTGCTGGTAGAAGGTAACACATGTCACCACGTTTACTATTGTTTCCTCTTCTTCCTTCTTTACATCTCCTCTTTTGACTAGGAAAGCTTGTGAAGCAGAAACGTCAAATGCCTGTGCCATGAACCACAACTCATAGCTGTCAGTCAGCGAAGGGGATCATGTTTTAGAGTTGTGTGGGAGAGCTAATAACTGCAATTTGCTAATTGCAGTAGGCAGCAATGACAAATATTGATAACTGTAATCAGCAAGCGGAGAAATTGTTCGCTTCTGTAGATAGCCAGAGGGGGGTGCTTTCCATCTGCAGATGCGATTAACGGTTCTCCATGCCTCTTATGTGTAACTTGTACATGGAGCAAGGGTTTGATGGCTCTAACAAAATGAAGGAATGAAGAACTTTCAGTTTTGCTCTTAAAATCTTATCCTCTCAAATACCTTGCAAAGAGCATTCTGCCTGGCTGAGGAAAGAACTCTGTTTCTGACGGGGTGGGTTAGAACTCTGTAAAGCTGCATTAACTATTCTCAGACCAGTCTTCTCCCTTCTGTTCTTTTCATGGTTTTCCTTCTCTCTTCCCAAGTTTCATATTGTGTTTTAAAAAAAGACGTAAATATCCTACTGGTTTTAAATACCAGAAGTGGCTTTTAGGAATCCATTACATTAAATTGCTTAGTCAGCGAAAGCTTTGACAAATAATCAAGGATTAAAGAGAGAGGAATTTCTCCACCACCTTCTAAATGCAGAAGCCCCCCTTAACCAGGGTTTTTCCAGCTGTTATTGATGTGAATCTTCAGCTTGACTTTACTCCAAGTAGGGGACAAATTACATCATTTTTAAGCATTCTGGAAAATTTCACTTCATCCAGAGCTGTTGCATCTTTGTAGTATATTGAGCTCAATGCAGTTTTGAAGTGATTTTTTTTTTTTCCCACCTACCAGCAGTCCCCCAAGTCTAGTTTCTAGATTGTCATGTTTCAATTTAGAAAGAAAGCATTGACGGATGTTACAGAATGTAAGAAAAACCCACTTCAGACCATGCAGTTTTATTGTGAGGCGTGTGCATTTTTTGGGTGCTCCAACTATCCAAACAGTTTTGTGAATGTTCACTACAGCCTCATTCAGATCTTTGTTTCTTCTTCAGCACGTAGAAAGCTGTTGCTGCCTTTAGAGCCAGACAGCTGTCATGTATGGCGATTATGCCTTGGTAGAGTGTAGTTGGGATCATGTCATTTTACACTTTTGTTACTTTAAATAACAAAGACTAGTCTGTAAATGGTTTTTTAAGTTAGTCTGTTTACTGTGTGTTTTTTCCCTTAACTCGTGTGCTTAGTTGAGCCATGTAGAGTTTTTGTTTGTTTAATGGATTTTCCCGTTTGTCAGTCTCTCCTACCGTTCACTTTCTCTTTCTGTCTCTCTCTTTCTCTCTCTCATTGAGAGGCATTGAATTACGTTTTCAGTAGTAAGGCTTCTTGCCGATATGAAGGGAACTTTTCAGAAAGAGACCTGCTCTGGGTCATTTAATTTTGAATACAGTTTTCAATCGTTCAAGTTTTGGATGGTTTATATCTAATGTGTGTTTCATTTTTTTGGAAAGCTATATTTTGTATTTAGGAAATGGTATACTATTTTGCTATTTGTACTGAGTGAGTACATTGGCATAAATATAAAAATTTATATATATACATATATATAAAATATTCTTTTTGCCACACATTTTTGTGGTAAATTTGTGAGTTTGTCTGATGTTCTACCACAACGTGGCGTCTGATAACAGTGGGGTGGGATGGGGTTTGTTATGTCTTTATTGAGTATTTAAGTACTTTTTGCAACATAAATAACTTGTTCATCTCTCGCCATTCCATCAGGCATTTTATTGTTCCAGCTGGCTATGAGAAGCTTCCCTATATGTTTTGATGTGTCTGTCACTCAGCAATACAATCTAGCAAGGAAACCTGTAGACAATTAGGCATATATAAAGTAACAGGGTTTCATTCAGGATGAGCCATTCAGCTTTTATCCACTATCACTGTCTATTTAATATTTTTATTATTAGCACCTCTGTGTTTTAACTCTTAATTTATGATTATGCTAAAATGTTTAAAATTTTAATCATGATAAATACAATTCCCTGCTTCCTAGTGTCCACAGCTGCTTTAACCCTGAACCATACTTTTTCTTTCTGTGATTTATTTCTTATATCCTGCTAAGACAAGATATTAACAATATCATTACGGTTCATGACATAAAAGCAGCAATCTAAATGCTATTTGAGGCTATGTAGAAGGCAGAATTATGGACCGAAGCAACTTCCAGATGCTCATGGAAGTCAATAGCCAGTTATCTGAAAATGAACTAGCGGCTTTTGCAGGATCACAGTCCCACTACAAGCTGCTAGGTGTCGTCCAGGGCCTTCGTACACAGAAGAAGTAACAGGAATGATAAATTCACTTCCGTGCTGCTTCAGTTTGTTCTGTTGTTCCAAAGGGGTGTATCCTTACGTGGAAGTGGTGTGGTTGGTCAGTGCCAAGTCACCAGGGACCAATTCTCCATTTAACAAACTGGGTGTCCAAAAGAGAACTTCATACCAAGACTGCTACAGCTCCAGGGGAAGGGTATGTTGAATTGTGTGGATGTTTTGGGTCGCTCATGAAGAGATGAGAAAAAAATGTAAAATAAATAATAAAAAAGGGCTGTGCTATCAGGTTTTTCACTTCTGGATAACACCTTTTCTTGTGTTAAACTTATCGTGTTCATTTTAGGTCAGTGTTTAAATGTACAACACTTGGAACATGTGATTTGGATACAAAAAGTATTTGTCTTCTGAATAAAGAGATTGCTCAGTGGTTGATCAGTGCTTGCAGAGAGCTGTTACAGAAGATAAAGAGAGGTTTGATAAGCCAGTAAAGAGCTTAAAGACGGCTGCAGGATTTCATGGCAGAAAGACCCAAGAGCAGTGTGAGCCACATCTGTATTTTATCAATCATGAACATTTACTTTTGGCATTTAAGCATTTAGTATTGATAATTGGAGCTTACTCTGATTTTTTTTTCTTTTATTTTAATCCCATCTCTGTATTTATTCCTTTGCATGCTCACTCTGCATTGCCCGGGATCTGTGAGTAGATGGATGGAGCGTTGCCTGCAGAGATGAGGTGGTGGCATCCATTTTGGGTGAGAAAGAAGATACTGAGATATTGGTCTCTATAAACTTAGAGTTCCCAATGACATTACTCTAAAGGGGAAGTTACTGTCATATCCGCAGAGCAGCAGTGAAGTGTAGAAGACACTACTAGGTGAAAATAGAAAACTGTAGAGCTGCATTGCTGGGATGGGTTTTAAGTAGCTTGTTTTGGCTGCCTTAAGGTCACTTCTGAAAGAACCATAAAGTCTAAACCTCCGTGTTGATAGCTGGCTTTACCCTTGAGCATGTGCCTCTTAACGCACCTGTGGTCCACTCTGTACAGCATCTGTGGGGTGTTGGGTTCACAGAACACCCTTTTTTGGTACAGGTTAAAATTTGGGGAGATTTAACCTGCCTGCTGCCAGTCGTGACCGCTTCATGCGTTCTTTTGGCTGCTTATACGCTGGGTGTACATATATATATATATCTGTGAGAATCGTATGAATAGCCCATAATACACAGTTACCAGCTAAGCATCTCCTCTGGCAGGAAGTTGTTGGTTCTTTGTGCTTAATTAGCAAGTCCACTTCTTGTTATTAATTGCTTCCTCACTGTCTGATTTTTCAGCAGTTATTCAAGCCAAATGCTTTGTTATTATTTTAACATGAAAGTAGCTCCAGAAATTATTTCAGGCTTGCTGTTTCAAAGTAGATGTTTAATCACGAGTCATTTCATTATAATTACTTTTAATTCCTGATAGGGTAGTTACTTCCTACATAGTTCTAAGGTAGAATAAAGCATGAGCAGTTCAGCATTTGTTGCTTTGGCAGATTTTTTAACTGGAAAAACTGAGAGTCTGGGCAGCTGTTATCAGTGGACATTCCCCTAATTTAGATAAGTTGATTTGTTTGTGTTTATTTACTTTTTAAGCTTCTATTGTGATTTTGGTTTAGGATGTAGTTTCTAAATAGAAAACTTGTCTGAACGTATTTTCTGTTACCTTTCCAGAGTCTTCAGAAACACTACTAATCAAGTCAGAAGCTTGTATTTGTCTTAAAACGTAGTTTAAATTGTTATTTGAGTAGCAGGAAGGATGATTTATTAAAAAGCAAAATCCAAAAGTTGTTACTGGACTAAAAAAGCTGCACATGGTTTTCTCCTGTTTGTCAAGTCAGGAAAGAGTTTGCCTGTCAGTGTTTGACTCTCTACATTGCCTCTGTATGGCAAACTGGGGCTGCTTTTTCATAGTAATTCCAGGAAAGGAGTATGACGGATTACAGACAGGGACAGAGGCAAGAACAAGGAGAATGAATTGCTTTATGTGCTCTGAGCTGTGAGTTGTGGGTGGAAGGTGAGAAGAACTATTGATCACTGGTGATTTTTGATTAGTGCAGTGCTTACTTTCAAGGAATGGGTGTTTGTTGTGTTCTGGAGGACTGGTGGCAGCTCCAGTCTTTTAGTAGCTAAAACGAAAGCACTGAGATGCCTTGTTTGTTCGGTGGGTTTGTTTTAATTTGGAGCAGTCTTTTGAGGTAGATTGTGAGCTGTTGGAATGGGTTAAATGCTGTTTGTATACAAGGAAAAGTTGCAGCAGCAGGTAAACTCTGGTAGAAGTGTACTTGTAAAATTTTCTGATGGAGTTTGGGGATCGGAGGGGTCATGCAGGAGGGTGCAGCTTTTTCTTTCTTGCAGTCTATATGAGTATGTAAATAGGCAATGCCTGTATATTCTAGGATTATATATGTATGTATATAGAGGAATCATATCTATTATATAAAAATAATTAGTAGACGTGCATAGAATACTGTTATATTTACATTTTCATAAACCTAAAATACTATTACTTTTCCTTACTATGAGGTCATTTACTGAGGGTTTTGTAGTAACTCCGCAAGTTTTCCGATGACACCAAGCTGTGTCGTTCGGTTGACACACTGGAGGGAAGGAATGCCATCCAGAGGGACCTTGACACGCTTGTGAGGTGGGCTGATGCCAGCCTCATGAAGTTTAACCATGCCAAGTGCAAGGTCCTACACCTGGATTGAGCAATCCCAGGCACAGCTACAGGCTGGGCAGAGAAGAGATTCAGAGCAGCCCTGCGGAGAAGGACTTGGGGGTGCTGGTCGATGAGAAAATGAACATGAGCCGGCTGCAGTGTGCCCTTGCAGCTCAGAAAGCAACCGTACCCTGGGCTGCATCAAAAGGAGCGTGACCAGCAGGGTGAAGCAGGTGATCCTGCCCCTTTGCTCTTCTGACACCTCACTTGGATTATTGTGTGCAGTTCTGGTGTCCTCACCATAAAAAGGACATGGAATTGTTGGAACAAGTCCAGCGGAGGGCCACGAGGATGGTCAGGGGACTGGAGCTCCTCCTGTATGGGGATAGGCTGAGAAAGTTGGGGCTGTTCAGCCTGGAGAAGAGCAGGCTGTGTGGAGACCTCATAGCAGCCTTCCCGTATCTGAAGGGGGGCTGTAGGGATACTGGGGATGGACTCTTCATTGGGGACTGTAGTGATAGGACAAGGGGTAACGGGTACAAACTTAAACAGGGGAAGTTTAGCTTGGATATAAGGAGGAAGTTCTTTACTGTAAGGGTGGTGAGGCACTGGAATGGGTTGCCCAGGGAGGTTGTGAATGCTCCATCCCTGGTAGTGTTCAAGGCCAGGTTGGACAGAGCCTTGAGTGACATGGTTTGGTGTGAGGTGTCCCTGCCCATGGCAGGGGGTTGGAACTGAATGATCTTAAGGTCCTTTCCAACCCTAACTATTCTGTAACTCATTAGTAGGTGTCTGAACACCTTTGAGTACTGTACGTGTGGTGCTGTTGACAGCGTTGCTCTGCTTCTGAACGTCACTGATAGCCGCGGGTTGGAAGGAGCTGTTCACTTTTGTACTTTTCTATGTTTATATTCATAATTTTAGCTGTGGGGTGGTGAAGGGAAGCAGTCGAACTGGCAGAGCTGCCGCTGGATGGGCTCTGGGGATGTGGCAGTGCATGGGCTGTCTGCATCCATGTGCTCCCCTGCCAGCTTTCCATGAGTGACCTGGGGACCTTTTCCCATTATCAGCCTCCCACAGCTCATGCAGGTAGGGAACGGTGGTGGCCGTGTTGCTTTGGAGGAGCTGGGCTGATGGCAGCAGTTCTCTCCCGATGGGTTACAGTTGTTGCATAGCAAAGGACCTGGCTGCAGCGCAGCCGGGTTTTGTTTGGATTGAGAAGGTGAAGCTTAATCTAGTCACTCCTCTTTCTTGTCATAAAGGCAGGCATCTTTATTTTCTTTAGTCTGACTTTTTACTGCAACAGTCCATATCTAGAAAACTCCTTGGAAGCTGGTGAGAGCTCCTCTTCGTTTCTGGGCATGAGGGACCCTGTGCACTGATCTCTGACTTAGATTCTGTGAGGAGCTGAACTTTCTCAAAGAAATCCAGATTGTTGTGTCACTGGTGTGTATTTCACCCACCAGGACCAGGATGACAAATCAGGTGCAGTTTGACACGAGGTTGGTTAATGGATGTTGTTGTCTGGTACAGGCTCTATCCAAGCACCTCTGCCAAACCGAAAGGAATGCCGAGATTTCCTCTCTTTGAGCCACCA